GGCATATGTTGTCAGCTTTGAAGCCAGTCACCTGCAGAGCTGTTCATTAGCTCTCAGTGTAAGAACAGTGATAGCCATGTGTGGGAGATATCTGGGAGCTGGAGAGGAATTAGAAGTGGCAGGATTACAACCTTTTGAGGGTGAGAGGACACAAGGTGTTTCATGAGAAAGAAGTGAAACAAGTGGGTATGAGGAGGTAAAAGATAAATACAACATGATATTAAATGCTGATGACACACAATTATAAAAAGCAGCCTGTTGGTCTAGAGCTGAAGTTCCTGAAGGCAACTGCTTGTGTAAGCCAACCATCTTGTGCTGTGCCCACATAGTCCATATTTCTACTGGAACACTTTTACAGTTGTCATGCATATGGACTGTTTGCATGTCCTTCCTATCTTGGCCGTTAAGAGAAGGGGGATATACAACACTGTTTCTTACCACTACACATAATATACAAAAGTGGTGATAGAAGTCAGCATGGATGGATTTTCACAGGCAATCACCTCAAATTTTCCAATTACAAGCAACTTAATCTACAGTTTTGGGCTTTTGCTAACTACTGATTCCTTACAAGAGTGTGAAGAACTTGAGAAAAGATCAAAATGATGAGTTTAGTGCTACTGCATGGACACCAGCACTCTTTGATAGATTCCAGTAATGTGGAAGTTCTGCAGGTAGCTTTAGAGATATTTTCTGAGGAAGAGTTAAGAAAGCTGTCTGAAGGTGAGTCTCAGATTTAGTGAAGTATAGTCTAAAGTCTTCTGGAAAAGAAACACTTTATGACAGTACATCTCAAGAGAGACTCTTATTCACAAGGAGCAACGAGCAGGCGAAAGGCATCTTAATAGCTTTTAGTCACACAAGTTAACCACGTCTAAGCTGTATTTCCTAGTATTTCTGTGGATCTGAAGAAGAAATTCGGCCAAACTGGCAAATTTGCCAGATTAAAAGAAATCTTTGAAGTCTGGACATACTGTCTGGCTTGTAAAATAGGACACATCTATTTAGCATTTTTCACTTTGCTCATGAAAAAGAATCAATTTCACCTGGGAACAAATGTATGAGGTTGTCTGAAGAATTATCTCAGGGTATTTATTTCAACTATCTTTTTACTGCATTAAAACTTGGATTCTTATAGAAGTAACATTTGGGCTGGATAAGAATGATATATTTTCCCTAATTGTATCATATTTGGTTATTTCAAAGCAACAAAATTGAAATTTGCTGGGATATTACAAATATATAGTGCACTTTTAAGCAGTTTATTCTAAATTGAGTTGTACGTAGAAACACTGCATCTAAAGTTATTTAAAATCACCAAAAATGGTAAAGTAATAGCTTAATTTTTTTTATTTTTTTTTTTAAACGGAGTTTAGGTAAAATTCTCTAACTGAGAATAATACTTCACAGTGGCAATGTTGAATAGGCTACAACTCCAGTTCCATTCAAGTTAACAGTGATGTTATGAGTCATGTTCTTGTATTAGAGAAACCTTCATTTGATAATTTCAAAGACTGAGCTAACAAGGCACTTTTTGATAATAAATCTTTGCATGTTACTAATGGTGAATACAGCTCACAGTTTCTTGTCTAGGTCTTTTTACTTTGTAGAAAACCATGTCTAAAGCCCTCCTAGACTTTTATCAGGCTTTTGAATTCAATTTCCTTTGAGTTTTGATTTTGGATTAATCAATGGAGGAATCACAGTTATGATATTATTTTCCATAAAAGGAAATGATTTTGCATACTGTCCAACATTTTTATTCTTTTCATTAGCTTAAGTTCACCTCTCAGACTTTCATATCACTCAGTGTCCTTCACCCAGCAATATCTTAATATTTATACTGGTTTGTATTCCAGATCACTTCTTTGCATGTAAAATTTTTACTACTTCTAGGTTTTTCAGATGCAAAAAAATTCTTTGAAGGGATTTTTTTCCTTGAGCAGTTTACTTTTATCAACACATTTTGACTGCAAAGGAATCTGGGAAAAATCTATTTTATAGTATTTTTTATAAATAAAATCTTCTACCAGATACTGTTTTTTTTTTTTTTTTTCATGCTTCTTAACCTATTTATATATTTTCTAGAAGATAATAGACTAGTTTAAACTCTATACACCTAAATTACTTTATATCTTTTTAACAGTTCTTAATATTTTATTGACTTTTAATTTTATTAAATTGTCCAAATAAATCTCTGACTCTTTAGAAAGCTCTTCTCGAGTGTGAGTAACAATACTATTTTGTCTTTAAAACATATAGTTCAGTTCTTTGCTTAAAATTATTCCTATATCATATTTGGGTTCTGATTCACACAAAGTCACTGTAACAAAGCCTCTTCCCTTCATAACAGAGATATATAGTCAGTGTATTTCATTAAGAAAGGAGAACTGACATCTACTGTTCAGAGACAGGATCTCTGAAATGATGTTATAAAGTAGGTTGAGTTTCTATTCCCATTTAACTGACACAACTTTTAATTCAAGCAAGACCTAGGATGTAGTAAAGATTGCAATAAATGTTCAAGATTTAGCTCAAGCCTTTTAAGCAAATCTCCTATCATACTGCAAGAAGATACAGCTTTAAAGCTGGTGCAAACATCTGAGAGTTCTTCGGTAAGTGATACCAAAAAGAGTTTATCTTCCTACACAGTAGCTGATGCAAAGTATCTGGAAACATAGATCTTTAAGATGCTATGACAGAGGTATATTTGTGCCCAGCTGTTTAAAAGTGAAAAGATTTTACTTTGCTGACTCTGCAGCTGAAGCGTCCTAGACCCTCCCTTCTTGATGCTTGGCATATGATGTGTTTGTTACAGCTGCTCTCAACATAAGATTATATCCAAAATGGGATCAAAAAACAAAGGAAAGGCATGTGACACAAATACCATCTTGAATATGACTCTTAAGGGAAAAGTAAGCATCCTCTGAGAGCGTGAGCAGTTCAAAAATGAAGGGCTCGAAACATGCAAAGTCAGATGAAAAAACTGCACCACCACAGGCAGTGGGAACAGAAAAGGGAAGAGCTTTCCCTCATCTTGAGGGTATGAAGCACAGATTCAGTTCTAGAAACCTCTGGCTAACTCTGTTACCAGCTGAAGGAGGTAATTCTGGGGAGAAATTCATTTTTTGAACAAAACAGCAAATGTGAGCCAGCCATGAATCTTTCTGTGCAGTAATTGCTATGAGGAATGATTCAGCAGCTCATGCTCCCTCAGGGCTTTTTTCGATGTTGTTTGGTTGGGATTTTGGGGGAGAGAGGTGTGGTATTTAAATGTAAAACATAGCAACAAATTATCTATGATCTATTCAGGCAGCGCTCAAAGGTGAGGTAAGATGACTTTGGACACAGTAGGGACCCACACAGAGGTATAAGATACAGATATGAAGGGCCTTCAAAGACCATTAATCATAAACTGGGTACACAACAGAACACGCTTCCCAAGCCAGAACATACATCTATCACGAGTAAAGTTACAGGCGCTGTATGTTACAGGTAAAGGTATTGCTACAGGTGAGTAGGACACCCTGCAGGCAAGTTTGGCACGAGGCATGACAAATGCATGTTTTGCAATATGCTCAAAGAGGGACAATCTGGGTGAAAACCAACTGTGTCACAAACATGTCTACCAAAAGACAAACGTTTGTGGCACAGGGGTTCAGTACTACCCTCATGAATTGGGCAGGCTAAGCAGGAATACAAGCTTCTGGACTTTGACAGGGTCATGGAAGAGTGAAAGCATAATGCAACATGATCAGTGTTTCTCTATGGAGAGACAAAACACAGCAGCTGGAACAGGGACCCATGATATGAAAAACATGTAAAGAAGCTAGATGGGATTTGTTTTGTTTTGTTTTTCTAAGTTTTTTTAAGTGTTAGAACAGTTGCCGTTTCCTCTTGATCTCTATTAAAGTCATGTCTGACAATCTGGTGACATACTAAGAAGATTCTGCTAGCAAGAAGGCTCTTCATATCTCCTTCCTCTCCTCCCTTGCTCTGTCCATCTCCCTTCATAAATCACTTTAATAGTACTTAGTGCTATGGTAACTTCTTTTTGGTATGGGTGTCTAGGTCTACACTACTTCAGACAACTTCAAGGGGTTTCTAAAACCACAAATAGCACACAACAGTTTTAGCACACTATGGCTACAGCCAAGAAACCACACAAGCAGTACACTTCATGTGCATGGCTTTACAACACATCATAATGTGCTCACACCAGCTCCTGTCTGTTCAGCATCCTGAAGACTGATAGTGACCTGAAATGGAATTGTAATTGGGAGTTTTGATCTGAATCAATTACCAGAAATGTTAAACTAAGCACTCCGCAGAACAGAGCTCTTCATTATCCAAGAGTGCAGTAAAGTTAGAAGTTTTCTCATAGTATCTTGCTTGTGTATCTCATTCTCTGCTCATGTAAGCTTAAAACTATAAATTTCATGGACCATTACAATACCTTAAACTTTTCCAGCAACTGAAAAGTTATTTAAATGGAAAATAAAGCAAACACAGGGGCACAAACACCATTCTTATGGAGAAAGCAGTAACATTTGGCACACTCTAGGGTCCCATTTTAAATTTTACAGTCTTGACTGCAGTAGTATTATAAACAATATTATGCACAATAAGACATTAGAAACTTTAGAAATATTACTGAAATTTTACAGTATACTTGTGAGGCGGGTTTAGTTTTGCAGACTGAACAAGCAATACAAAGAGAAGCTGAGGCATAAAAGAGTTAAACAAGTTGATCAAGGTCACAAAGCATGTTTGTTGCAAAATAAGAGCAGAACTCAATCGCACAATTTGCAGTTTGTGTCTTTTCCCTAAAATCATTATTCTTCCCCTTCAGGTTGTTATTTAGGAGTGTAGTAGCTACTTGTTTATTCTCTTACCCCTGACACAGACTATAATTCTACATTAAATAATGTGCTTTTACAAACAGAAAAGTTTTATTAACATACAGAATTGTGGAAATGAAAAAAAACAGAGGTGCTTACCCAAATCCAGAAAACAAGCGACAGAAGAGGAAGAAGCCATAGCCCTGGACAAATGATGAAAGGAAGGCAAAGAATCCATTGACAGACATGCATATCAGGAGTGACTGTCTCCTTCCCACTTTGTCTGCCAAGCCTCCCCAGAAGAATGCCCCCACCATCATCCCAAGGTACACTATGCTACCTGCAATACACAAAAAAAGAGATGTTTTGTGAGCTACATAACTGACCACAACTGACCACTCTAAAAAGGGCTGATCTATATTTACAAAACAAGCAGTATAGAGATTAATTTATCCTTTCTCAGTGAATAGAAATTACATGCATACCTTCGCAAATGTATCTAAGGAGAACAGATTTCCTACTATGTCTTTGTAATCCATTACCAGACACAGTGAAGCTTAATATAATTATTAAGTAAGTGCCTCTGGCTAAAACAAAATACAGGCAAATAAGACTGAATGGGAGAAAGAATGACACTGTCTCCTCAGTAATAAACTGCATTCATGTTAAATACTACAAAAATTATAATTTCCCTTACAGAAACAAATTGTCTGAACATTTCGAGAATATATGCAGTCCCGTAGGGGATAAACCACAGGAAGTAAGATGTACTAAGTCTAAAGGAAGCTGATGATGACACAGACACTTTCAATCTGAGATCCATATAATCAAAGATGTCCAGCTTGACTGCTTTTTTTCTCTCTCCTATTTCAGTGTACTACTTTATATAAAAAGCAGTGTCGTGTCACAGAAAAGCACTGGAATGTTTTGGATTTTTTTTCCCTGAAGAATTTTGATCAGATACATTACAGTTTAGTGACATGCGTTAAAATGAGATAGGGAAAAATTGTTTTGCAATGATTTTTTTTTTTTTTAATGTTAATGATGTTTTCAACGTGGAGTACTTTCCCATAGAAAGATAAGCTGAAATATTTAACACATTTTGATATTCACATCTTAGCATATTTGTACATTATTTCCTTTCCAGAGTGAAACCTTCTGTGGAACACAGTGAGCAGACTGTCAGAAGAAAGTAGTTGCCAAGCTTTAGACTGAATCAAGCAGATTTGTTTTTTATTTTATATATGTAATTCTTTTCCCACCTACTTTCTTACTGAACTTCCCAGACTGGATTTTGTCTGCCTAGCAGTTGCTACCACCTACTACAGAGCAGGAATTAAATATAAAGTAGCTGGAATACTAGCAATCCTTGTCCTGTGTCTCTTTTCAATCAACCACACAGACAAGTTCCCCAGCAACATTGCTGGGATTTAATTGCTGTTGTGTAAAATTCTGGCCTCCAAAGGAATCACTTCTGCCCTGCAGAAGGTAATTGTAAGGGAAAGAAAGCTGAAAAAAGCCACTTAAATGTTTGAGTGTGGATAACTGCATAGTAACATAGAGGTCACCCATCAGTATTTTCATGCTTGGAATTCCAGATGTTAACATCTAAAGTGCTAATATCTGCAGGGTCACATATATCCCAAAATGTCCCTGTTCCCCCTCATATTTTGTACAAGTAGTTTCCACTGCTGCTTCCTTATGAGACTTTTTTAAAAAAACTTTTGATAGAACACTCATTGTGTTAAATGTATATTATCAAGATAGAGAGTTATATCTTGGTTAGGCGAGTATGCTGGTTTTAACAATACCCTTTGCCATTGATTGTGACCCATAGCATCAAATCAGTCTTTTCTGCAGTTGGCCTTTTAGCCAACATAAAATAAGAACATGATATTTCTAGACTGACTGTCTTTTTCATGAGTCACTCAGGACAGAATGGCAGATCCATTGCTGCTCATCACAAGCAGTTTGGAAACTCCATCCAGCAGAGCTGCTGCTTGCTTGTCAGTATGAGTTGAAAGAACTTAGCAAAAATAGTTCAATAGCAGCAGACTTATTTTAAAAAGGCAAATAAAATTATTATGTTTCAGTCTTAAATTTCTCACATTCTTTCATACATAAAGGTTGTTGAATTTTCCCAGTCAACACTCTAATATTAGAAATATTCAGAGAAGGTGAATCAAATAGTTTCATATTTCTTTATATAGATAATTTTGAAATATTCTATGCAAGTAATCTTAATTTTACCAAGTAACTACTTTCCTTGTTTTGCACAGAAATATCAAAACACTATGAATGATGAAAGAAAAATGTTTCCAAGTCTTGAGAGTTTAAAAACTTTAACCTTTCTTATTGATGACAAGTCCTTTGGTCATTGTACTGTGCTTTGGCCTCTCTTATACCAGTGTAATTCTCCTGAAGAGTATTCAAAAGATGCTGTTAAAAATAGTATTCCCCTATCAATAAACTGATATAAATAAGGTGCTCTCTAAGCTGCACCATTAGCTTATTCTTTCCCATTATATTAACTTTGAATTTTTTCTTAATTACCTTGCAGAGACTCCACAATCCCTCTCCCCCACCAATGATCTTCATCCCTTCCATCCTGAACCTACTGCAGTTACCAATGATACGTGTTTCAGTGTATTTTCCTGTTTTTCTTCTTTTTCATATTTTCTGTCTCTCTTTATAAAGAACATAACCCTGCCTGCAGCCCATAAAGGAGGTCCCCTTCCTCTCAACTTTCAAATAATTCCTTAAGACTTTTCTCCCCTGCAGCAATTTTCACAATAAGCCATAAAAGTGATGAATGTCAAATGAGAATTCTAACTATGAACAATTAAAACAGCTGAACAACTTAATAAATGCAACTAACCAATGACATTGGATTACCATTACACCATTCTCTTGTTTGTTATGCCACTGGTCAGAACTCTTGTGAGGAAAACACTATAATTTTTTGTACACCTTTAATAAATCTCATATTTCATATTGCATAAATTTATATATGTGAAAATTAAATATCCTATTGTTGGTGAGACCTTGCTCTCTTGTCTCATTACCTTTGAACAGTGGTCATCTAAGCGATAATTGTATGTATGTACGTATACGTATATAGATTTTAACTTAGCATGTCATCCTGTGGGTTGTATTCCCTTTTTAAGCAGCTACTGCTGATCACAAAATTGGCTGCTTTTCTTTTTCTTTTTGGTACAGCACACTTGTGACTCTGAAGAAGTTAGCTTATACAGCACATGGCACACACAGACTTGACATTCAGCATGATCCTAGAAGCATTTTTTTAAAAAATAAAAGTTTATTCCAAAATATAAAGATTACTAATGATATCTGTAAACTCTGTCATTTGGTGGAAAGGCACTGAGAAGAGCCAAGTGACAGCTGAAAAAAACTTCACACAACAAATATTCTCTTCTATTGTTCTTTTACCTAGTTTTTACAACCTGTATTTTCTTTCCACAGCAGAAATTCTACATACTTCAATAATTTTCCCCACTCTACAAGTGTGCAGACTACATGCTTGCATCCTCTTCAGATGGAGGACCCAAGTTTGGAATTGGTTTACACCATGCACTCACTTTGACTCCCAGATGGCTAGAAAGTTTTTAAATGGATGTGCACACAACATCTTTCAGGTTGCTAGAAACAGCTTAACCTTACAAAGCAGCCAACCAAGAACTCTCTCAGTATCCAACAGCTGTTTATGGGCAATTTAAGCAATAGGATAAGAATACATGCATGATCTGTCACTGATGTTCAGTTAAACCATATTTTACTCATTGTGCTGCCGTAACTTCATTATTTGTCACTGTCTGTTACAATTCATAGCCTGGTATCTAAATGATGGACAAATCATTCTGAGAAATCAGTCTGTAAGTATACACTTAACTGGGAGAAAATAAAGTAATGAAAGTAAAGTCAGACTTCCTTGCAACAGAGACATTAGGAACTTCCCATATGCTATTGCTTAGAAAGGTACAATTCATAGTAAGTCCAATGCCTATAAGTAACATAAAGAGTAAGAATATCCAGATTTATCTTTGTTTTAACCCTGATAAACAGAATAATCAGAGTTTAAAGATGATAATCCTTCAGAACTATACTTAATTATAATGTTATTAGTTTCTTTGATCAGCAAGGACTTTGAAAAGAATTGCAACTAACTTCAGTCAAATATAATGTATAATAAACTGTTTATAATAGCAAGTAACTAAAGCAAACACTTTTCCATTAAGCCAACAAATATAAGAAAACTGTAATTCCACAACTGGCAGAAGAACTCCACAGTCTTTCAATGTCTAAAACCATCTGTGTAGTCAGAATATTGTATCTTCAGTTCATATTTGTTATATTATGCCATTCACTTCCTCAGAGGTACTAACACTCCACTATTCAAACATAAAGAACTGCCACAAACTAATATTCCTCCATAACAACTATTTCTTCTTTTCTCTAAACAGTGCCTGAAGTGGCAGAACAAGCTCTATATTTATGGAATTGTAAATTTTTAAGGTGTAGGTCTAAGCAGTTAAAGGAGTAAAACATCAATTGTCTAGCCATCTGAAAAAGTTGACGAGTACTGTTTTCCAGCAAACATATGAGTCAGCCAACATATTAACCAAAACTGTAATTTTGCATGAGTCTTTGCAAGTTCAAGACTTCTCAAACCATGGATTTCCTTTATCTAAATGCTGTTTCCCACAGCAATCATATTGTGTCTTAACTTCAGATGTTAAATAATTGTTCTTACTTAATAACATGCATTATATGCAAATCCCCAAATGCCACAGCATATTAGACTCTTTTTCTATTACTGCTCTTCAGACTAATCCACTCCTCTTACATTCCCTTTCAGGACAGCTTGCAGACAGGCTTCAATCTGCAATTTCATACTGTCTAGTGCAGATGCTTAATTACACATTTGTTTTGAAGCTCTTCTGGTTAATATATATTTATAGTCAAGTTTTACTTACTATTACATTATTAGAATTATTTTTAGCAATATGTTTAAATACATGAAATGTATAAAGCTATTTTAAAATGAATGCTGAAGTTCTTCAGTCTCAATATAAACATTTGTACAGTGTCTATCATACTGCAGGGATTCCTGGACCTTAAAGTGTGACTTGTAACTGAGTAACCTCTATGCTTATTTCTCTAACAGTAATAATTTCAAAGTGACAAGTCATCGCAAGGTAAACCATTTAAATTTTGCATATTTTTTTAGCTGCTTAGTGCACAAGATATTCCGGATATCCTTCACAGTCAGCAAAAAAGGAAAACTTTATCTCCATAATAACATATGAAACATTGTCCTGG